TAGGCTGAGCTTGTCCCGAAGCCACCCACTGTACTTCAGGGGCTAGATCCTGGCTCCAGCACTAACCGCTTCACCGCAGCTGCGCTCAGCCATTAATTTCACTCCCTGAGTTATGCTGTGAATGGGAGTGAATATGCTCTCCTGTTCAATAGCTCCTTGGTGGGTTGGCTCTGTCTCAACCTCTGAAGATAATTGCATTTCTGCTCTCCAAGAAACTGCTTTAAATATGGGAGGGCAGAAGGTAGATGGGATCTCTGGGTTTTTTGCAGTAGATCAGCAAGGCGCATTAAACTACAGTAACAGCAAACGGCTTTTTCCCCCACTCCTAAATTAGGCTGTTAAAATCAGGGAAGTGGTGGGAGTAAGGAGAAGGAATAGCTTTGTGAGCAAGCTTCAGTTCTGGTACCAAACATGAATTCCTGGGCTGAGTGTGTGCTTGGTATCGCTTTCTTCCTCTGTTCTGCATCCATCTTCCTGAGCCAATATTTTTCAGTCAGTGGCCCTTTGCCTGAGAGAGAGCACTCACTAAACAGATTCTGCAGGACTGAAGTCTGCCCACTCTTAACCTAGTGCAGCAATTATGGCTTTCAGATGTTGGTGAACTGCAAATAGCATCAGTTTGCCATCATGTGTAGCGTTCTAGACTAGATGGACCTTTGGTCTGATCTACCAAGGCTTTTCTTATGTGGAAACAGTTGAGTGGGCCTTGGGAAATTTGCATGCTTCTTAACAGTGTTGGGGATTCAAGTAGAGCGACTCCCGAGTCCAAGTCAAGTCATGTCGGCAACTCAGCTTGGACTCAACTCAAGCTCCACAAGCGAGTGACTCAATTTGACTTGTTCTACATTTTTTTAAAGACCGAGTTGCTCCAGGGCTTACCGTGGGGCAGGATATCCTGGAAGGCAGGTACAGCACAGCTGAGGCAGGGGGGAGTTTCAAGGGAGCCAAGGCAGGATAGGGAGGAGGGGTTTGCAATAGGGAGAAGGCAAGTCTTCACTCTTCTTTTTGGCACAAGGGAGGCAGTGGGAGAAAGGGAGAAGGGTGCAAGGGGAGGGAGACTTGAGACTTGACTAGAAAATTTCTTGCAGTGTCTTGAGACTCAATTTGTACATGGAAGTAAAGACTTGAATTTTGACTTGTGACTCGGAGTAAAGGACTTGAACACATCACTGCTTCTTAATTCTTGATTTATAACTTTACAGACATCTCAACATGGAAAGCTACAAGAGTACAAAAATCCATACAGGGCATAGATACTAATGGAACTTTATGAGCAACAGACACTTCTCCTTAATCCCATTTTCCTCTCATGGATGAAGTATACATTGCACAGATTCCATATATCCTAGCATCCTTAGCCACACATACTGCAGAGCAGTTGTGGACACACTTGGTTTTTGCATACAGAAAATTGCCTTTTAGTAGCACGTTGTAGCTGTTCTTACAAATGACATCTGTCTACTCACACATGCATGAGTGCTCAGTGAAGCTGCACTGGGTATAATTTCTATTCTGTCCCTTCAGTTTGTAGAGATGGATCCCCTGAATCCACCTTCTAGTCACACCTCATATCTAACTATCCTCACAATGTCAAAGAATTGAAGATCTGTCTGTAACGACTGAAACTCTATGTCTTCATATGCATGGAAGGCAAGCATATCCCTTGTGATGTTCCCAGAGAACAACCTGAGCTGCAGAAGCTGAGTGACAATGTAGAGCAAATGAATGGAAGTGAAGTTACCAGCATAAATCATGCCTGAAAATTTACAGCTGGGAGCTGTTTGGCACCTTCAGAATGCAATCAATCAAGGATAAAACACTCACGGTTCTAGAGTCTAGCGAAAAGTTTGAAAAGTCAGTTTTGAAATGTTCCAACATTTGTTTCAGCTACATTAAAGCCTGATCTTACCGCTGGCAAGTAAAGCAGGAGCAGCTGACAGTACTTACAAGAAGGGAGTTGTGTTTGCTTGCCAGTGCATTCCTGCTGCTGACTGAGCCCTGCTTCTGATGCGTGCTTTCAGTTTTCACCTGCTTCTGCTTAGCTCCAGGGTCATTATCCCCTGGCATAGCCAGGGATGACCTGTCTCTCAAGGGCTCTGACTGTTTAACTCACAGTGTGTCTTTAGCTCCTTGGATATGTTAAGCTATTTCTGGCCTTTCAGCAGACACAGCACTGCCTTGGGGAAGACATGCGAACACATGCCCAGTTATGAAAGGGACTTATGGGAACATCAGTCTGACAGCTCATGATGGAAAGTAGGAAGTAACCACTTACTCTTACACCAACTGGAGTTCAAGTATTTTACTCTTTGTACTGTAGGATGTGAAACTTCGAACATGAGGAATAGATAATATTGCATGGCCGTCTTCATTTTACATATTTCAAAATGTTTGTGGGAAGGTGCTCTGTGCAATAATGTAATAATTATATTATTGTAATATTGAATAATTATATGGACTAATTATAACATTCATAATATAATGAATGTTTGTAGATTAATAGTCTACAAACCAGTTGTCACTACTGGTTGGCAAGGGAGGCAGAAAGAGAGGCTAGAATGAGAAAACCATCTCATTCTGTCAAGGAAATAGTGATGAACTGCCCTCTGCTGGTGAAGTTGATGGCATTTCTTTTCAGGTATAAATTTTAAAACAACGAATTTTCTTTGAGGGATTTTTGCCCGAATGCAAATATATTCTCACAAAACTATGGACAGGTGCACATGAGCATGGTCAAACAGCCAGTAAGCATAGAGAGCTTCAGAGCACTTTCTTTTCCTACGAGGAGCAGATACGATGGAATACCTGGGGAAGGTAGACTCAGTTTGCATTACCTCCCCCTGCATTAATCAGTAATCTGTGTGTGAGAACATAGCTTTGTGGTGCCTTTCTTCCATTATGTAAGATTTGCAACACATAACACACGCACTCCTTAGATCTCTGACCAGGTTCATACATAACCTCCAGCTTGCTTAAAGCATGGGTTGGCAAGCCTGAGTGGCAACAAGCACATTGCCTTCTATGCATTCATCACATCTACATTTATTTAAGAATGTAGGAACACCCCATTCCTGGGTTCTTATTGTGACATCCTGAGCCAGAAACTTTGGATTGTGTAGGGGTTAAATCTACGCCTTGTTTGTGGATTAACTCTTGGTTGTTTAACTGCTAAACTGTACTGAGTTCCAGCTTTAGACATCACAGTAATAACCAAGAGCAAGCTTTTCTTGGGTTGTTAGTTGAAAATGGAAGTGACAAGTAAGCAGGAGGCAACACACCTGCTCACTACTGCTAGATATCAGCCAATGCAGGAATTGCCATTATGTACTAACCAGACGTGGACTGCGTCATCTGAACAAGAGGCACCTCTTCTACAATATGTGTAGAAAAAGAGATGCATCACACTGGTGCAAAATACACTTTTACCAAGTAGACAACGCTAATGAATTATTGAGCTGCCTTATTGGAGCCTTTGACTGGGAAAACATATCTTCCTCAACTACTAGGGTCACATACTAGTACAGTATCTGAAATTGCCTCACTTTGGGCAATATCTAATAGGGCCAAGCTGCTGCTTCTTATTCCGTTGTTCTTGTGGGATGTGTGGTTTGCACAATAAGGATTTCTCATTTCTACAATTAACCTTTAAAATGCTTGTTTTGAGTTATTGTTAGAACTGCAAAAGCCCCATTGTGCAAATAGTGAGTTTAGTGAGCACACAGGATCTTACCCTATGGAACTTTTACTGATTTTTGTAGATCTTTAATCCAAAATTCTGTCTTATTTTTATGGGTGGGCTTCCAGAATTCTGTCTTATTTATATGTTAAAATAGAAATGGCAAGCAACTAGAAATTGGCAGCAGGCTATTTGATCACAGATGTTGGTGTTGTTAGTCACAAAGTCATGTCCTGTTGCTTCTTGACCTACATATAGGTTTCTCAAGAGACAAGTAAGATGGTCTGGGACTCCCATCTCTTTAAGAACTTGCCACAATTTGTTGTGATCCACACAATCAAAGGCTTTAGCATAGTCAATGAAGCAGAAGTAGATGTTTTTCTGGAACTCCCTAGCTTTCTCCATGACCCAGCATATGTTGGCAATTTGATCTCGAGTTCCTCTGCCTCTTTGAAATCCTGCCTGTACTTCTGGTAGTTCTCGGTCCACATACTCCTGGAGCCTAGCTTGTAGGATTTTGAGCATAAGTTTGCTAGCATGTGAAATGAGCGCAATGGTGCGGTAGTTTGAACATTCTTTGGCATTGCCCTTCTTTGGGATGGAAATGTAAACTGACCTTTTCCAATCCTGCGGCCACTGTTGAGTTTTCCAAATGTGCTGGCATATAGAGTGTAGCACTTTTACTGCATTGTCTTCTAGGATTTTGAACAGCTCAGCTGGAATACTGTCACCTCCACTAGCTTTGTTGTTGCTCAGACTTCCTAATCACACTGTGTTTAAATAAGTTTAGACCCTGAAGCAAATGGCCTTATGCCTGCACCCTTCCTCCCCGCTTCCTTAGATAGTAATGTATACTACCTCACTTACTTGCAAATGTGGTAAGCCAGCCATATTGCATTTCGGGAACCATTTGCTTATTCTCCTGGATGGCGCTCAGGATCTTTGCCCCACAGTCCTACCCTGATGGGACCACAGCCTGATTGAAAGCTGGCTTTCAAGGTTCATTGCAGCTTTCCCTAGCCTCATGCTGTCCAGATGTACCTATCAGCAATGTAGGGAACTGTAGACTAACACATCTGTATTGCTTAGGGTTGGTGAAGGTTTGTGGCTGAGTTAAAACTCAAGGTTGTTTAACCCTAAAGAAGGTAAGAGTGCCAGGTTCAGACATCACAGCAACAACCCGGGAACAGGGCACTCCTAGATGGTTTAGGGAAGCAGGAGCAACAGACAAGCTAAACCTCCAACTATGCTCAGCCTCTAAATGTGTAAATAAATGCAAAACACTTCAAAATCCTAATAAACCTCTCCTTACTTTTTTCCAAAGGAAACCAAATTCCCTGAAGAATTCCCACAGCTCAGGAGTATGCTTAGCATAGCAGAATAATTCTCAGAATTCCCATGTATGTATTCCACAGTTTGATATCTTCTCTTACATACTGTTGCACGTGACACTGTTGAGGCCAGGGCTCCTCAACCGTTTTCAACAGGGGGCCAGTTGAAAGGTGCCGGTGGAGGGCGCGGGCTGGCAAGGCGGTGCCTGCAGCAAACGTGGGCTGGCGGAGGGGAGGGGGTGGGGCAGGCGCGCAAGGCAGCAGTTTGCTTGCTCAGAGGTTGTTTTCTCCGAGTGATCCAAAACGATCTCCATGCACGTGCACGGCAAGGCGGCGGTGGGTGCACATGGGGCGAGGTGGGCAGCGGCGGGCACGGGCACGTACGCGGCGAGTCCAAACCCTCTGAGGCGGGCCGGATAAATGGGCATGGCGGGCTGCATCCAGCCCACGGGCCGTAGTTTGAGGACCCATGGTTTAGGTAATCAAAGGAGATACACCCAATTTCACATGAACAGTGTGCTTTATTAAGATGGTTTAATTACAACAATCTCAGGACCTTCTGCTCTCTCCTTTACTCTCTAAGAGCTTTTCTACACAAAGCTGTTAATGCACTGTACGTACCTTTGGTTTCACCACAGAACTTACTTCCAAACACCCGTCACACCAAAATTCTGCAATTAAGGCTCAAATGATCAGTTTCTTGCGAGGGCAATTAGGTCTATTTACAATTAAACACATGGATCCATGGGTGCCCAAGAAAAGGAACACCCAATGCTAATTCTATTAGGGTTATATAAAATACCCAAAAGGGGAGTGAATACAATACACAGGAAGGTGATTGGATACTTTGATATGGATAGGCAAGTGATTGGATACATGTCACAACATCATAAAGAAAAAGTTGCATTTCACTTTAATTAGATACCTTTGACAGGCCTTCTAGATTAAAGTTACCTTGAACAGGCTGGCCAAGTAAACAAAAAGGTTACGTGTGTGAACTTACTGGGTTAGGGAGGTACTCTGGCAAGTCCATAAAATACAGAGATTACACTTTGACAGTCACCCACTAATGAAGTCGGTTGTTTGATCTTTACTGAGGCATCTTCTAAGACCATGTATTGATGTATTTATGGCCGGGCAGGATGGCAAAATCTGTTTTTTGAGTACACACCACACTAACAGCCTTTCTTTTTTAGCTTTTCTGCTGCATAACCTCCAGCTGGCATTGTGGTATGGGAGAATAGCACAAATACACAGGTGGGGATATTGTTCTTTGTTGCCTTTTTAAGACACCACAACATTTCCTCATTGTAAAAAAAAAAAACCAAATGTGCTGTTCAAAAGCAAAAGTACAGCTGGAGGATCATAATGTCACCTAAAGAACCCCTAAGCAACTATGAGTAGGAAATTATGAACACACAGTGAATGCCTCATGTAGAAAGTTCTAACTCTCCACACCTGTTTCCTTCTTAGCCTTGTTTCCTGTTTCTCTTTCAAACTCTACCTCAGAGTGCCACCTCCCTGCTACTGCTGGTTTTATTTCTAAACTATACATATTTATATACTTTGTATGTCAGCTTGAACTACAGTCTTTCTGTTGAAGTTTTAAATTGTTTCTGTACCCATCTTTTGGGATGCTCTGATGGCACAAGGCAAAGATGGTGTCAGGATTTGGGCTGCTCTGAAGTTCCATCTCATGGCCAGAAGCGGAATGTCAACCTCAGTATATGCAGGATCGGTCCCAGGATCTGTAGGAGCACTCAGCCTCCTGATAAGGGCCAGCTGGGAGGCCTGGTAGGAAGGCTATAGAAGAGCAAGCTGTTCTCTTCAGAAGCTGCCTTGGCAATACAGGTCTTCCTAATGATGGAATGTCTGAGTCAGATCCAGTCTTGCTGTATATATCTGGTGTTGTCTCACCACAGCAATTCAGGTGTTCTTGCCAGCCATGGTTCAACTTCTGCGTATCGCCTGATCCTTGATGTATTTGGTTCCCGCTATGCTTTGCTTGGTTTCCTCATAGTGCCATACCTTGCTACATCGCCATGCCATGCCTTGCCTTGCTGTATCCTGCTGTCCTTGCCCTGCCCCATCCTGCCTTACTACCCAGCCTTGCTTGCCATTCCTTTGCTGCTCCTGAACCCTGCCCAGTTATCCTGTTCCAAGGTACCTGCACCCTGTTTTGTCTTCCTCGTTCACAGCCTTGGCCTGTTTTGTGATCACAACCTGAACTTGTTACTGGATTTTGGACCCTGTATTGCCCTGGGTTCTGTAGCCCTGGTCCTGCTACTTCTGTCTTGACTTCTGCTACCCACACTCTAGACAATGATAGACAGAAGAGTTCTGAGGAATCCTGTACATATCACCTCAGAGTAAATAGGGTGGCTGCGTGTCTTTTCTTGCAGAGGATTATCTTGGAATTGAAGGCATCATCTATTCAAAGAGTTGTCCTGTACAATGCCAGTTAAAGGTTATTTATTTAAAACTTTTGTATGCCACCATGCCTTGTCATCTCAGGATGGCTCACAATACATACAATTAAAAACAATAAAATGATCTTTATAAATAACAAATTCAATAAAAGATCACATAAGGACAAAAAACTGAAAACAAAAGGAGCGACTGTTCAGGGATAAAATATTAGTTTTTAAAATCATGATTAAATAAAGTTTTAACCTGGCGCCAAAAAGAATATAAACTCAGCGCCAGGCGTACCTCTCCAGGGAACATATTCCATAATCTGGGCACCACCACAGAGAAGGCCCTGCTCCGGGTAGATGTTCTTTTTATCTCCTGTAAAGAGGGCTCCTGGAGCAGAGCCTCTCCCACAGATCTTAAGGGGCATGAGGGCATGTAAGGGAAGAGGCGCTCCTTCAGGTATCCTGGTCCCAAGCCGTTCAGGGCTTTATAGGTTCAAACCAGCACCTTGAATTGGGCCTGGACTTCAACTGGAAGCCAGTGTAGCTGGTAGAGGACTGGCGTTATGAGAATAATGACCGATCCCTGTCAGCAGCCTGGCAGCTGAAGTATCTGGACCATTTTCAAGGGTGGCCCCACGTAGAGCACGTTGCAGTAATCCAACCAGGAGATTTCCAGACCATGAATCACCGTTGCTAGGCAGTGCTTGTCCTGCCTAGCAACGGATATAGAGTCATCAACAGCAAACACTTGGACAGTAGACTGAAAAGGCAGCTGCAGAGGTCACCTGATCACTATGTTCCACTCATGGCAAGATATATTTCTATAGAAATTATGAGTCTGTTAAAATCTGCAGTTGTACATATAAATTACTTTATGCACATTTTCTGTAATTTACTTTTCTTATTTTGGCTAATGTATTTTCCCTTGTCAGCAGTTCAGAAGAGGCCACAATAGAAATACTGAATTCAATGAATTCAACGGACCCAAGCAAGCGTCCATGCAGTTGTGACCCCAGGTTCTCTGAATCAAGGGCTGGGTGGGACAGAATCAACCCAGAACAGCACTCCTGGGGGGATTCCCCCGGAACACAACCAATGGCAGCAGACCTTGTGCCGGGTGGATGTTCAGAAATGAAGCGTGCCTGATCCCTTTCAGGAGATTTTGCTCTCCTCTAAAAGCCTACGCACAGACTTTCCTGCACAAATGAACTGGTCTGACATCCCTGAGGGACCCAAAGTGAACAACTTCATGTAGCAGTCCGTGAGAGAAGCTTTACAATTCCAGCTTGATTTCCCAAGGAACCCTGCCAAGGAAAGCTGTGAGTACAAGCACTGGCACAGCTAATTTCACATCCACCTTGACCTACCACACCCTGGTTTGAGACTTCTGTTACATGTGCACATTATGCAAACCCACTCTGTGAACAAGCCATGACTGGTTGCTTCTGGGTGAACAATTCCCTGTTACACAGAAGTTAGGCCTAACCATAGGGTGTTCCCCACCTTTCCCCCTGAAGCTCCCAACTAACCCCACAAATATCCTAGTGCCCTTCATGGCAGAATGTGTCTCGCCTCCCCTCGTTCTGCTCTAGTTGCTACCCTTTTCCTTTGCCGCAGTTTTGAGTAGAGTTTTTGAAGCATCAAAGAAGCACAGCTGGGGTCACATTATTTTTTCCAGCCCCTGAAAATCATGCAATTGTGTTATTGACTTTTTACTGATGATTACTGATCTTTTTTGAGTGCATTCTTGTAGCTGTCCCATAAGTATAGTCTTGCTCAGTCAATTTCTCTGTCTGGTTCAACTGTCAAGGAAAGTAGCAAGGTGGAGTAGCTTAGATCATATTTCGAGGTTAAATGTGTGCTATCCAATCCATGCCATGACTGACAAGACAAAAACTCCATATAGACTAATTTGCACACAGTTGCCAGGGACCAGTTGCCAGGTTGTAAATTGAGAAGCAGCAGTATGCAGCCGGGGTGGGAAGTGATAAAGAAGGTTAGCAGCAATTAGGGAGAGACAATATCTGCCTCTTAGCAAAGTAATCCTCTTGATTTTAAGTACTTAACCATCAGTACCTTTCGCCTTTCCAATACTTCCCCAGGTCTGTAGCTCTCCAGTAAAGGGAGTTCTTAACTCCAAACAAACACATGCATGCACACGCGTGTGTTCCCCCGCCCGCCATGGCGCTTCTTCCGAGCACTTACTGCTTCAGATACTGCATTTTCCTCACACTTCTGAAAGAGACAGACAGACAACCAAATATGAAAGCTGGGAAATAAATGAGGAGGGAATATGCACACCTCCAGTAACAGAGCAGTTAGTGCAGGTGTGCAAATCTTATCTCCATTTACTCTCTTGTATTAAATTTGCACATAGTTCAGCTCCATTTACCCCTCAGCCATAAAATTTGCATTTATTTCTGCATTTTTATTACCTTTTATTTCTGGAGTAACTGGGGAGCCATAAAATTATTGAAAAGGTGAAGAGCACTGGGAAGTATCAGCTCAGTGCTTAAAACTGAGAGGCCCCCTCTGCCAGGGAGGAAATATTTCTCCCCTGCTTTTTGGTGCACTGATTCCTCTGGCTTCCCTCTTCCTACAGTGCTTCTAACTGGCTCTGCTGGGTCCCTCCTTTCACCCACTTATTTCTCCTCTGGCCCTTTGCAACTGTTAGCTGACAGGCCACTTCATCTTGTCAATATTCATATTGCAAGTGTGCATTGGCACAGTTCTGAAAGATGGACAAAAATAACTGTCACCTTGATTGTGCATTTTTGAGGCCTCTGTGTGTGTGTGTGTATGTGTGTATGTACTTATTTTAGCCAGAGAACAGGTATTATTTCAGCATCAGCAGGACGGGTAAGACTGCAAAAAGTGAGTGATGGAAGCTTTTTTGCTGTTCTTGCCATGTTTTTATTTATTTAAAACTTTTCTACCCCGTCCACTAATGACGCCTCGGGTCAGCTTTGCCAACCATGGCAACTCAGGGTAGAATCATTCTCCCAGGTTTCAGTGATGCAACAACCCAGTGTGAGCAAGAACACCTGGTGACAAGCCTCAGGTTCTCAAGGTAGCCTTAGGATCTCAAGGTCCCCAAAACTAGGCTACCTGCAGAATATGCTGCAGGTTCAGGTGACATGAAAATCCCAGGCCAGCTTCCATGGTGGGATGCCATGTCATGCAAACTCAGTTTTTGTCTCATTGTGTAGAGAGGGGACCCTACCTCTTGCACATTATGGCCTGCTCAGGTGGATTCGTCCAGTTCTGAGAAGCAAGTGGGGCAGAGGACTTGGCTGTGTCAAGCTTACTCAATGCAGATGCATCAGGGAGAGTGAGAGAACAGGCATGCCTAGGAAAGGGCGGAGGAAGACTTTTCAGAGCTAGAGTGGGCAGGGATAAGGGGGAGGTCCTTGGCCTGGTCAAGCGACAATAGGTGAAACAATTGCAAAGTGTTGGGTGTTCCTGCCATCTAGTCAGCAAGCACTAGGAGCTACCTTGAGGGTGGAGCCAGAAGCTTTGTTGAAAAGGTGGGAGGGGAGGTTTCCATTTGGATTCAGCTCTTTACAAGGGCAGTTGCCTCCCCCATATCCCTAAACAAATGCTATTCTGAGTTAAACTTTTCTGTAACAACTTCAGTTTCAATAAAATGACCTGGGTTTCTATGGGTTCATTTTGAGTCTGCTGAAGGAGAGGGAAAGAGGGAAGTGACCTGCTCATGACATTTATACACATCTGATCTTTCTTCAGGTCAATTTTTGAAGTTTGCTTGTTGTACCACTTGATTGATTTGATCCAGACTTGGTGTGCTTCAAGATGAGGTTTTTATTTTGCATTCACCTTGCTTTGTGCATGGAATTTTATGGAGGAGGTACTGTCCAGATGAGATTATCTTCCATTTGTAGCCTTTCCATGTTGTCCAACCATTCCTTCAATCTAGTCACTGTTGTTAACCAGAAAAAAAGCTACAGAAGGAGAGATGGGATAGCTGCACAATGCCTTTGGACAGCTAGAGCTAAGAGACCTCTGTATGGAAGCACCCTGTCGCCTGGTCATACCTGACCTGTTGAAATCAATTGGACTAACAGGTCCATTGATTTTGATGGGTCTTTTCTAAGTATAGTGAAGTCTAATCAACTAACAGTACATGTTCTTCCCAACTGGCTGGTTGCATAGTTGTAATGGCCTACTGCAAACATGCAAAACGTATTATCGAAAGTTAAAAGTCTGTTAATTAGGGTCCAAAGAGAGAAGATGCAAAAGAACAAAAGCTATTTGTAATATTTCCTTTGTGCAATAAACATAACTTACTAAACTCTGTAGTGCTAGTATAGGCAAGATGATACTGGCTGCATTCTTGCAATTTTTAAAAAAGAAATTAATATGCTGACTCCTGACTGATTTTAACAACTGGATATGTAGAACCATTATTCTAAAGATATGCAGGAATATCCTAACTTTTGAGCAAGTTGAAGAAATGTAGATGTTAAGTTCTACCTCTTAATGCAGATAGGTTGTGACCAGTTCAAATTTGCCTGAGTTGTCTAACCAGCAGGCAGAAGAAGAATTAAAAGAAATGGCATGAAGAGCTCAATTTTTAGCAAATTCAATCAACTGATACCTTAGGCTCAGAATAGATGGTTGGCTAGGAACCTTTTGTGAAACTTTGAAACAAGTGTTCTATGACCTTTTTTGAGCAGATGGTAAAATCAATAATGATGGCAAAATCTTGAATTTATCCACATTTTTCGGCATCCAGGCACAAATTAGAATTGTTCATTCTGTGTTTAATTTTAAACATATGCCAAAGTTTATGAATGGTCTTTGCCTCCCTGTTGATGGTTTGCTAAGTTTTTAATGGTGTGTCCTATGCTGACTGCACAGAATTTGGGGGTTTGCATGGTAGTAAATTTGATTGCACTACAGAATATGACACCATTTGATTGTATCCCAAAGGATCACACTGGTTATCCCAAACAATTGAAAGAAGGACTGCCTTAGAAACTGTGGCTTTAGACCTGAGGGGGAGGCGTTAGTTTAAAGAGCGTTAACAATGCCAGATCTTTGCCAGCGTACATCTTAAAGCATTTTTCCAAGTATCAATTAAGCCTTGCATCATCTCTGTGATGTAAGCATTGCCATTTTCATTTGTGAAGACAAGTTGAAAGGAGAATGGAAGGGTGAGGTTGGAATTTTCCTCGTTACACGCCTACAATTAAGGTAATATTTTAATCTCTGCAGATACCTGCCTACAAAAATGTTAAAAGAGTTCTGCATTCCTGCAGTGCTTCCCAAGTTCTTTTTGTGAAGGATGCATACCATATTCCCCTTTTCCCCCTGAGCTACCCACCTCTTCCCAAAGACAGCTCAGCAAATATTTATGGCTTTTTCTACATTTTTTGTGGCTGATTGTCTTGTATATGAAGGTGCAGAATGTTAGGGTCCAGTACTGTTTCTGTGTCAAGGTCATATTCTCAATAGGAATATGGTGGGCTGGAAGAGAACGCTTTTATGCAGTGAAGTCAAACATGAAATTCACTTGGTGCAATCATGTGTGTTATGATGGAGAAAAGTCCTGCAACTATGGAGGGATGTGAGAATTGTAGGACTTTTTTCCATCTCAGCATGCATAGGAGTACACTTTCAGAAGTTTTTCAAGGCTGTTTCTAGATTAGTTTTTTGTGTGCAATTACCCTGCTTAAATACAGAATGTTATAAAGGGTCCAAGTCAGGGGTAGGGAACTTATTGTCAGGGACTGAACCTGGCACTCTGGGGTTTCCCTTTTCCCCCAGGGACCAATTATTTTGTGGCTTCCTGGCTTCTGTGAAATGTTTACTCTGAAAGAATGTTTTCATACCTCCACTGAGTTGGGAAGGAAGACCACCTTCAAACCAGGGGATCAGCTGACAGCATGGAGGTCAGTACTGTATCCCTTGCGCTATACAGCCTAGCCTGACTGGTTGATAGAAGGCCCAGAGCACTGGTTGTGCCAAAGGTACGCTGCCAGATACTGTCCTGCTCTGGGATTGCCTTCAGCACTTTATACACTTCAAATCAGAAAATGGTATTCTGGTACTTTTTAGATACTTTGAACTACAGCTCCCATATTTCTTGCTCATTGGCCAGGCTGCCTGGGGACTGATGGGGCTTGTAGTCCAAATCATTTGTAAGGCATCAGATTTGCTTTAAATCTTCCATTGACTACATCATCTCAGACTTTGAATACATATGGCAAATATATCAAGGAAGTATAACCCTGGCCCTTTTCTAGATGTAGACAGAGTATGGGAACAAGCAGCTATCCCATACCTGCCAATGACCACAGATGGACCATCACAGTGTTCCACTTGGACAGGGATTTTGTCAACTGGAAGCAAAAAATGAAAATCCATTTGGTTGTATACTTTCATTGACGGTCCACAGAAATCCATGGCCTGTAATTTGTGATTGGATTCTGGGGCCAGGGTGTTAGATTTCTGTGAAATGCTAGCATAGGTCTTGATTGTATAGTCAGAAATCAGTGGGTATATGAGATTAAGGATAAATCTAAATTCATTTGATGAACAGGTCTTGCCTGTAGCTGATGATAATTTAATAAGAATTTGTAGTTCAGTAATATACCACATGTTGTCTCTGTTCATGGCAGGAATGCTAGTATGGGATTAGATGGGCCATTAATATAGGTCAGCATACGGACAATCCTTTATCTAAAGGCAAGTACTAGCCATTTATCTGCTCGCAATAAGTGATCAGGGGCTCTTGCTTTTCCAGGATAGAGCAAGAGAAGTGGAAGAGGTGACTTCCTGCTCTGCATTTTCACTAAATGGCCATTTTAACCTCAGATGGCATTTCAGAGAGGGATAGAATGAAGCTGAAACTTCTTCAGTGTACCTCATACCCTGGCTGCCCCAATCTCCTCCCCTCCCCATTTTCCTGACCTTGGAGAACAGCCAGCATGGTTCTTTCCAAGCCAGCTGTGAGGGAGGAGTATTGAAAATTGGATTGTTAGCTTAGCAGTTGGAGCATGACACTATCCTCTGTACTGGGAATTCCAACTATCCAATAGCCCTTCAGATGTGTAGGGGCCACAGAATTAGGGTTCTGTGAGGAATCCATTTGAGGAGGAAATCCATCATATTCCCTGGACTTGGCTACCTGGACTCCTGTCTGCTTTGCAGTGGCCTTGAGTCTGAGTTCCCGGCAAGCATGCTTGGCATTCACCCACCCATCAGGGGGCATTCAGCAGGAATCAAGCCCTACATGTTGTACAAGCAGTATGCCTCTTCTGCATCACCTGCAGGAGTCATTTGGACTGCTGCTCTTGACATGGAAGGAGGTTGATCATGTGGGGCTCACCCTGCACGGCTGCTAGCAGCATCCCTCTTTCACACTGAGTGCAGGCACTGTTTGAGCTGCTGCGCCTGAGCTGGACGAATATTGACTGGGCGGGGCTTACCAGGAATGGAGACTGCTGCACAAGCAGTGTACCTCTTCCACACTCATTGTGGCAGCCATTTATGCAGCTGTACCTGACTTGGGAGAAGATTGCTGGTTGTGCAACATCCATTCCACGAATGTTTTTGATGTTCCTCTCAGCTCACTTTGCAAGACTGGGCCAAGCATGAAAGTCCATGAATGTGAGAGAGACTGGCTCCAAAAGGGTTCATCCCAATTCTATATAGTGTACAATCCTGTGCATGTTTAGAGGAAGAAAAGTTCAACAGCTTATGGCGTCCCTTAGCCAGCCATGTTCAAAAGCCTACTCTAATAAGACATCGAAACAGGCAAGATTAGAACTCAGATTTCTGGACACATTTCCTTCTACAGTATTTATACCACTATACATATATCCTTGCCAAAGTTGTTGACCTCAATTTCATGTTTCTTGTTTTCATTTTTGTGTAAAATGGCAAGGTTTTTGAGTGCAGCGTCTGACATCATGGAAGGCTTCTGGGCAGTCTTTTGGTAAACAATATAATTATTACTGCTGTTTCTGTATTCCAGCTAAGTGCTGTATCCTCCCTTCAAATAACCAGATGCTCCTGAATGTGTTCCACCTGAATATTTTCCACACTCCTCCTCCTGCAGTAACTAAGCATCACTATTTGTTTGTGCTGTCAGCATTTAATTCTGTCTAGAAAGGTGGCCTCTATTCTCTTCTCACTCCATGAGACACTTAGACCTGATTTGGAGCAGGAGATGCTGCAGATAAATTGTATCTTGACACCACCTGTCTCTTCCCTTTCCTGGAACTTCTCTGAAAGCCTTTCTCTGAAGTTGCCCTTAACAACATCAGGGGTGCACCTGGCTCTGTGTGTGTGTGTGTGTGTGCATGTATGCATGCTCCTTGTGACAAGGGGAGTGGGATCTGCATGTGAATCCCCAGGTATACAAAGTTGGAACAATGATCCATGCTTGCAGGTGGGAATCCAAAGAATCCACAGGCAGCCCAATGCTGTCTAGCAGGCCTCAGGTTGCTCTGCTCAGTGTGTATTCATCCTGACAAGATATTATGTGTTCCCTAAAACAGTAACCACAACTGTGTTCATGTATTTGAAGTAAAACAATAAAGGGGTATATACATTTTTTTTAATTAGTGCAATATATCGTCTTTGATCTGGCTGCTGCAGCAAAGGGCACTGATGTTTCCAGAGAGCTATTCCAACTATGAAACTAAGATCTCTTCCCCAAATAAATATAGTCAGCTCAGCAGCTATCAGTGTAAATGAAGCATTATTTTCTCATTGTGCACTCCTTTGCATTTGCTGACACTTCTTGAATGGTACAAATCCCATATAAATTCATACAGAACCCACTGTTAAATCTTCCCATTTGAAAAGGTCAGTTTATTCCTCAAATTTTCTCCCCCCCCCCCCGCCCACATTACAAGATATGTCATCTTATTCATACCCACTTCTAAGACATTTAGGGACACTATATCCCCTGGATCAAGCAACTGTGCATAGTTGTCACTATCTTCAAGAACTTTAAACAGTGGATTGGCCATAACTTTGCATTTCAAAAGTCAAAATGTCTCTTCTTTGGCTTTACATTATCATTGGCAAATTTACCAGCTCAGTCTTGAATAGCACCTTCTCCCATTTATCAGGTATAGAAACTGAACTTAAGTTTCCCTCCATCACTGATTACTCTCCTTACATATTGATGCACTACATATTCCTTGCACCTATGCGGCCACCTTCCCATAACAGCATAAGAGTCCTTCTGGGTCAGAGTAGAGGCCATGACATTCAGTGCTTTGTTCCCACAGTGACCACAGCCAGGCCATCAGCCTAAAAGGACCCTACACTAGTGTTTGCCAGCAGCAAATTATATTCTCCCAGCAAACTAGTACTTAGATGCATACTGCTTCTAGCTCTGAAAGTAATCTATAGCTGTGATGAGTTGTACTGACTAATAGTCTTCTCCTCCATCAACTTTTCTAAACTTCCCCCTATTTAAAGCCATCCAAACTAGTGGACATCGCTCTATCTTGTAGAAGTTAATTCTTTAGTTGTTCAGTATTATTCATAATAGTACAATATTGTAGGTTACAGCTAAGGCTGGCTTCAGTTTCCAGCCAAGTACACACACCCCACCTCTAAGGTTAGACCATTGTATTATTTATTTCCAAAATGGCTGTGTCATTTCTGATATATTCCAGAGCAGTTCATCAGAAAAAAATGTAATGTGATACCATAAAGGCAATCAAGAAAATTATAATATAGTGACAAAACAGTTATCTCAGTAAAAAAACCCAGGGTGACAGTAGTCAGGTAACAAGGCAAATTAGGTAGGTAGGCAAATTAGTCTTCAGTTACTGGCAGAATCACTCCAAAGCTGGAGCTTGCCTGATTTCAGTGGGATAAACTTTCTGCATGGCAGGTGTAATAGACCAAGGGAACAAGAAACCTGAGCAAACTTGATCTTCATGGAGGTGGGCGGGGGAGGGTCCTCTTCTGGATCAGTACCTTGTTAAAGAATGGAAAGCAGAGTAGGAATACATGGTGATTTCTTCTCATAGAGGGATGTAAACTGTGGGGTCCCACATGATTCTGTATTAGCATCAATGCTTTTTCATCCTCTTCAGAAAGATCTGGAATTAGGAGTAAGCAGTGAAGTGGCCAAGTTTGCTGATGACACCAAACTATTTATAGTTAAAAGGGATTGCTCCAAAGAGAGCTCACCAAGGTGGGGGAAAGGGCACCAAAATGGCACGTGCTGCTCAACCTGAGTAAATGTGAGGTAATACTTGAATACCCAGGAACTTGAGATTACCTATCCCAGGTATTTGCACTGAGTCATTCTTTGTTGATGCTCATTTTTAGCTGTTTTAAACTTCTTAATGTTAATCTGATTTTGATTTTTATAATTATTATCTTGTTTTATGGATTGTTGTAAACCACTCAGAGAGATTCACTTAAGGGTCAGTATAGAAATGACATCAATAACAATCATAATGATGGTGATGATGTCACAGCAAAGGTTACTCTACATAAAATACCCTCTCAGAGCTCTTCCCACACCAAATGCAGAAACTTTATACTCCATTGACTTGCATGTCTATGTATTACATGTGTAAGCATTTCAGAGCTACCCCTTCCTCTTTTTTATTTTTAAGACAGACCAAATTGGCTGTGTTTTGGCATGAGAGGAGTATATACCATAATAAATCTAGATTCCACTAGACTCTCTGTTGTTCTTCTCCAACAGACTAACAACTATCCCTCTGAAATTAGTAAAATCCTAGATTTCTCCATTGATTTCTATTAATTTCACCTGTGCCACACTGATTTAAAAATGGCATTCAAGGAAACCTTATAGAGAATGTATCTTACAATGATATCTGCTTATTTATGTATGTGCTGAATCATGCAAGAAGCCACTCACCCAGCACCCAAGATTTCTCCCTACAACTTTTAAAGGGAGGAGATGCCAGTACAGAATCTAGCAATCTTTTCTCTATTGTAGAAGTGGAAGTATGCAAAGTATAGCCTTCTGAATGTTGCTGCTTATATAAACACAGCTGAAGTTGTTCAGATCAAGTACAGGAAAATAAGAGCTATACAAGACTGAATCACTTCCAGGTGAAGGTAGGTTGCACACCCACTGGTTATCTGAAGCTGCTTGTTGAATGCTGATTCACTCATCACCAAAAAATATGCAAAAGCAATAAATATGGTAAATGCTTAACCAAATAAGCTTGTTTGGGCCACTAGTCCAGGCATTCAAGTCAACAGATCAAAGAATACATTTTATCTTTCTGGCATCACAGGATTATTCATTCTTTCACCAATATAATCCTGATAATCTTGTGTGGAGCTCTTTTCCTTGGCAGCTAGTGGTCAGGATACTGGATTAGGCCTCTGGCAACAGAACCTCATTTTCCTAGGCTTTTAACATCTAATGAATTTTTGTTATCTTAGTGCTGCTTTTATCCTACTCTTTGATTGTTCTTGTTTCACTTTATTCATTCATGATTTACTGAAGGGTGTGAGTCAATTATCACTGATGAGTTGTATATAATCTTTAAAAATAAGATAAAAACCAAATCTTGGTTTGAATCAAATCGTAAATTTTTTTCCTCCCAGTTTCAGTGGTAAAGAAAATGGTTCACTATTGTAGAGTCTCTCTCATACACACAATTTAAATAATTGGATTGGCATGCAGTGCCCCTAACAAAAGCTACTAGGGCAGTACACATCCAGATAGGGCAAGGACCATCATATTCCTAGAAGCACTGTTTCTAAGGTGCATCCCCTGACAAATGACTTCATACACCTGAAAGCCATTTGGTCCATAACCTCAAGTCCTTACTCATGAAGGTCAGCTTTATAATCATACCTGGCATCCTTCTGCAGCTGTCTGGGTTCCACCTGACCCCTGCCTCAGGCCCTCCAAATTAGGCAGTTCAGAAAGTGAGCCTCTGCTTTAATTTATTCAGTATCAGGGACTGACACTGTGTTACCCAAGAAGACAGAAACTGGCAGACAACATAGTATTGCTGGAAAATTTTATTAAATGTTATTTGTTAATATGAATTAAAAGTAATCCCATCATACAGGAATGGTTTTCACACTCTTTTATTTATCTACCTCTGAAGCTGGACAGTCATGTATTGCCTTAAGGTGTAGCAAGAGCCATCACATATCCCAGTAGGGCATCATACAAGCCACCCAAATTCTGAGACGCATGCTTGCCAAAACACAAACAGCGCACCTTAAAAAATAGCTCAGGCTTGGCTCTGTCCACTCAAACTTACAATCCTCTACAGCTGATTTCATGGTATCAGAAAGAACTGGTGGGAAAGGAGTGTGTTTATGACTCAAGTTTGTCTTCCAAATAAAAATAGAACATGCTTGAAATACTTGCCTACTAAATGCTAGGCAAACATGGTAATTTTTATTTGGGATTTTTTTGAACAAAGGAAGTAACAGAACTTCTTAGTTACCAGACACTCCATAGGTTGTCAATGTGTCATGCAGAAGACAGGGTTTGGACAAGCTCATTACCCACCTCTATTAAACA